CTGTTTCTAACCCTGTGTTCTGGTACAATTCTTTGCCCTGGGCCACATGAACCTTGTCCTTTTAACAGGTGACCCTAGAACACTGGTAGGTGATCTCTGCACTCAGATCCATCCATATCCATAACATTGGAAGACTGTGGGGTCAGAAGTTTGGCGGGTGAAGTTTGGGGTGCAAGTATAGCACAGGAGTCTGGGACTTTTATTCTTTATGACTCTGCTGAAAATCCTGTAGTACCTGGCTATTATAGGTCAGTGACTTTGTGCAAGGCTTATTAGTCTACTACAGCCTCAGGGAGAGGCTTGTGGGGACAGAACGTGCTTCTAGCTACATTCTAACTGGCAGAGATTAGGGTACAAATAACTCAGGGAAACCATTTGGTTATTTGATTATATTTTGCTTTTGTCCCTCTGATTTCTAAACTACTGTTCAGTAATACTTGTCATTTGTTAACACTCCCATTCAGTGCAAAAACACAGCTCTCACTCACAATTTATTCTAAAGCTAAATCTGAGTCACTCTGGCCTGGGAACACAGATTCAGGTTTACCCCCAAGTCCATGTTCTTATATGCTTAAGAGTTTGGTGAAGTTTCAGTATAACAGCAAAACAAAGCACTTTTAAAATGCCCTGGTATGGGCTGGAGAGATAGCTCAGAGGTTAAGAGCAGAGGCTGTTCTCCCAGAGGCCCTGAGTTCAATTCCCAGCAACCACATGATGGCTCACAACCATCTGTAATGAAATCTGGTGCCCTCTTCTGGCCTGTAGGCAAACATGCAGACAGAACACAGTATACATAATAAATAAATAAATAAATAAATAAATAAATAATAAATAAATAGAAAGTAAATAAATAAGTAAATAAATAATCTTAAAAAATAAAATGCCCTGGTAAAGATATCAGGTCTGCAGGTTATGGCAAAGTGAAGACATGTCAGATCGAGGCTGTCTTCTGATCCTGTCTGGTTGTGTTCTTAGCCTTTCAGTTGGTGGAAACTATGGTTTTGTTAAGTTAATGCATTCCAGAAGGTTTTATCAGTTAGTCATGGGGATGTTAGGTCAGACATAGAGGTGCACAAAGAAATACCTAGATAAATTATAGTTAGGCTCTAAACCTGCACCATTCCAACTACTCTAGTCACAGAAGTTCTAAACAGTTAATCAGCCTTGACAGAAGAGTCAGGTTAAGGTGTGTGGTGTTTTTTCCAAAAACTTTTATTCACATCCTCAGTGAGCAAAACAAGTAGATTAAGAAAGAGAAATAATTCATTTTTATATAGCTTATCAGTATAAGTAAACTCTATGACCCCAAACAATGATGATTAATATTTCTTTGTGGTAACAAAAGTGAAGGTCCTCACTTCTAGATATTATGAAACCTTATAACATAGGTAAAATTAAAATCCTGGAATATATGTCATACAAACACTGACAAAGCTTAGCATTTGCTATATAGTTTAATATAAAGTTTACTTGTGAAAATGTCAAATTGACTATGGACTGAGGGACATCACATGATGGCAAAATGGTTAATCTCCAAAGAACTTGATCCCCTTTCTGAAAAAAAGTATCACACTGTTATATGGAGGCCCACAAAGGCTCAGTGAGATCTGAGCTTGCTTTACCCAGCAGAGCTGCATTAGAGGATTGCTTGACCTCATGGGTTGTTACTAGGTGATTGGAAGGGTCTGCACTTGGCTGTGCTGGGGGGAGGTCTTTTGCTCTACCCCTTGGCTTTCCTTTAAAATGCCCTTTAGAAGAGACAGAGGGGGTGGTAGATTAGGATCCAGGCCCTCCTAAGGCTATCCTGTGTTTCTGTCTTTTTCTCCCCTCTTTATCCTTCTATTTAAATCTCTTATCTCTCTCTCCTCAAAAGTACCCCAGGGGAGGGGGAAGGGGGAGCTGGTCTCCCACATTGTTACTTATGTTGGTTCCAGTAGTCAGAAACTCGGGAAGAGAAGTAGAAACTCCTCTAGAGTAGAAGTAGAAACTATGCTAGAGTTACTGATAAATAATTATCAGAGTGGGAAGAAGACTGTATTAAAAGAATCCATGGGACTGCTACCTCAGTCAGTAAATTTTCTCTTGAGTCCAGTAATATGAAGCATGTTAAGATGTTCTGTCTAAGGGGAAAAAATTGTTGTGTCTGGCCCATCCTAACCAAACCACAATGACTTCTAACCTCTGTGGAGAATTATTTAATAATAATCCACAAGGGATCAGATTAGCCATTCTGAAGACAATAGTCACGGGCTTTCCTCAGACGTTTCTGTTATTTCTCAGTGAGCTCAACACCAAACATACCATGGTGACAGGGAAAGATGTTATACATGGGCTTGGTACCAAGCCAACACTAACCTGGGTCCTGGGTGCCCAATTTTTTAGGAGAGACTAGTCCTAAAAATGACACCTTCTCCTGAGATATCAGTCTCATAACCAGTGTCAGGTTCACTACATCAGACCGGTTTCATTAAAAAAAAAAAAAAGGAAAGCATGCTCAAACTTGGTCAGAGAAACTTTTTGCAGTGGGTAGATGTTAATGCAGAGATCCATAAACTGTCAACATGTCAAGAATCAATGATTGTAGCATGCTGAGATCTAAACAGGACACTTATCATCCCCATCTAAGGCTCAAGGAACCTCAGGGAAGATTTGGTGAAAAGAATGGAAGAGCCAGAGGATGGGGTAGAGTGCTGTGAAATGAACTGCTGTCTCTTCTAGGCATGCCATGACTGTTATATACATAAACTCACATTAGATGTGAGCAAATGCATAAGGCCTGCACAAGACTGAGCCCCTCAACATTCAATCATAGGTTGGAGAAGGCCTTCCCAATAAGCTGAGCAGTTACTGACATATAACAGCTGCTGGGGGTGGTGGTGTCATTTTTCTTCAGTGATATAACCAGCTACTGGTAAATTGTCCATGCTCTAGTAAATGACCTCCTCCATCCAGAATGTGTCAGGTTGACAGCTAAAACTAACTAGCACATACACCTAGTCCAATTAATACTATGCATGTATGCAGGTATGTGACACTATCTATTGCATAAAAAATATATCAGGAGTCATATCCCTGCAACAAACTTAACTATCCCTCCCCTAACAGCCATCAACTGCCAATAGCTCCTCAGTTAGGAGGTTGGTGCCTTGTGTGCCCTTCCTCCATCCATGGCAGATTGTTGATTGGCCTGATCTTGTGCAGGTCTGGTACAGGCAGCTACTGTGAACTCATGAGTACAGAGGCACCGTCATGTCCAGAAAACACTGTTCTGATCCAGTATGCCCTTAGTTTTGACTTTTACAATCTTTCTGCCTCCTCTTCTGTTTCCTTGGCCTTGAAATGGGTGAGTATGATATAGATGTTCCATATAGGTCTGGACACCCAGAAATTACTTATCCTTAGAATTTTTACTGGTTATGAGTCTGCACTACCTATGGCTATCGGCAAAAGTAGGTTCTCTGATCCAGACTTAGAAAAGCAATAGTCTCAAAATTTAATAAGCAGTTTTACTACCTGTCTGTTTAGGAAAACATCAGTAGTACATTCTGCTCTAAGGTCTGTGACATCCACACACAGGTTTTTGACCAGGTTTATAATACTGGGCACGCATACTCTTTCATGGAGCAGACTTTAATCCAATTGGAAAGCAATTGGTTATAGCCTAAACAATCATGCCACTATTAGGTCCGTGGGCATATCTTACCTGTTATATTGGAATTGTAACATGCGGGGTTTACAACTGAGATCTATCATTGATGATTTTTCTCCCCCAGCAGCCTATATAACATTATAGTATCCAAAGTATATGATGTTTTCATTATTAGGAATTTAGTATCTAGTTATGGGTCTACCAAACAACATGGAGAGGTAGGCAGTCTGTGACAGTGTCTGAATCCCTTCAGATGTTCATTGTCAGTGCAACATGTGAATCTGTAAGGCTGATGCTAAGATAGACTTCATATACAGTCCTTGAGAGTAGACATGGATGTGGTCCATATCCAGTAAAGTCACATTGGTGATTATACTAAAACCTTTGGGGCTTACATCCCAACATCCCATGCACCAGATCCTAGACATCTCAAAAAAAAAAAAAAAAAAAAAAAAAAAAAAAGGAAATGACGATTCATTTAAAAGGGGACTGGGAAAACCAGGAAAAAAGAGTTATCTGAGTCAATGTATCCAGGCCCTATCCTGAGCTGTCAGAATTTCCCACATTGGAGAAAGGAGAGGATTGTTGTAAAACATTGCCATGTGAATATGATATAGCTGTTTGTGGTGGTTTGAATGAGAATGGCCCCCATAGGTTCATATATTTGAATGTTTGGTTTCCAGCTGATGGACTGTTTAGTAAGGATTAGGAGGTGTGGCCTTGTTGGAGGTGGTATATCACTAGGGGTGGGATTTGAAGTTTCAAAAGCCCATGCTAAGTCCAGAGTCTCTCTCTACCAAGTGCTATGGATCAGATGTAAGCTCTCAGCTACTGTTCCATGCCTACATGCTTGATGCTATACTCCTTACCATGATGGTCATGAACTCACCTGAAACTGTAAGCAACTCCCCAACTAACTGCTACTTCTATAAATTGCCTTGCTCATGGTGTCTCTTCACAACAATACAACAGTAACTAAGACACTGTTGTAATCATGAACACAGCAGCCATGAATACCCATAAAAGGCTGCTACGTAGATGAAATTTCCAAATAGTTTTGACTCAGCCATTAAAGATATATGCCTGGACCTTAACTGCCAATACTGTGCCACAGAATAGACTGTTTTAATGATAGAAGAGACACACACACACACACACACACATTATTTTCTTGATAATTTTTACACAAAATTCATTATTTTAACAATTAAAGCTTTGTATACTCTGTGTGTTTGTGTGTACAGTTTTAGGGTAGGTAATTCTCGGGGAAAAATTAAAACATTAGAAATGACTTAGATGTAATAGAACAATACAGTACATATTCGTTTTTACTTCTGATGGGTTTGTTTGTTTATTCAACCCAGTCAGTCTCACTATCTGATTTTCCTGAATTATACCCCATAGCTTTACGACGGATCCGGATGATATCTGCTTCATTTTCAGGAAACTCGGTTTCACCTTTTGGTATATTTTCTCGAGTTTTATGTAGTTGAATGCCTTTTCTTATTGCTTCCATCAACGCTTTCCTTGCTTTGCTCAATATAGGCAGGATTGATGGAGGATTTTGCTTTACATCGGCATATGGTGGCACTATTGCATACTGACTTATTGCTAGAGCTCTACGGCTTGAAATGGATGTAGATTTCAGAGAAGACAATGTTGACTGTAGAGTGGTAACTTTTGTTGAGGTGAAACATGATAGTTTTGATTGTGGTGAATACGTCATGGGTGATCTTGACTGTGCTTCGATAAGTTTTGTTAAGTGGCTCACCGAACGTTTTGGTGACAGTGACAGATTTGAAGAAATTTGTGTTTGGGGGCTTGATGAGGCAGATAATGAAAGAGAATGATGTGATACCCTGGAAGATCTTGATAATTGGACACTTGACGACCCTGATGTATTGTGGACTTGTTTTTGTGGTAGTGGTCTACATGCAGCTCTTGATTTTGATGGAGATACTGGTGATGATTTTACAGATTTCAGTGATTGTGGAAAAGACTTTATGAACTGATAAGTAGAACATTGTTGTAGTTGTACAGCTAAAGTGTGGTCAATAACATCCACAACTGAATCCCATGACTTACTACTTAGTGAAGTTACTGATGGATATAAATGTGGAGGGATCATCTGATCTTGACTCCTTGGACTTAGATCATCTGGTTGCAGTTCAAAACATTCAAGAGATTCTGGTGTTGAAGTGAATTCAGGTGACATCTTTAGATCTATTTTAGAAGTGGTTTTTAAGCAAGCAGATGTTGTTGCAGTTGTAGTTTCCAAAACAAGTAATGGAGATGTTTCTGGTGAGCTTATGGAGCTTACAACTCTAGGAGCAGATGGCCCTTTAGAACTGGTAAGTTGGATCAGCCAATCAGATGGTAACGGTGGTGCTTCTGGTGCTAGAGGGTTGACAAATACATCTGTTGTATAATCAGTTAGAGGTAGTGGCTGGCTGAGCACCACTTCCCCCTTACCAGTTCCATAAAGGACACGATGACGTGAATTGTTCATATGCTCAATATTGTAATGTAGACATTTTTTCTCACCAGATAAGATGTTCACTGCAGATTTTTCTTGAGGTTTTCTCTTATTCAGTGGAAAAATGTAGAATGAAGATCTACCTTCCGATTGATCTAAATATGAATGAGATACTGCACTACCAGAGCTTCGAATGTGATCCACAGAGATAAGTTCTTTCACCAGTTGACATTGTAGCATATCTTTTGATTCACTGTCGTGGTCTAGATTCTTGTCCTGTAAGTGTTTCTCACTTGTTTGTATGTTTTCTTTTACAAATTTCGAACAATATAAAAATGGGTTGAATGAACCATCAGAAGAACTTGAGTCTTCCATATCACTTTGGTGGTACGAAGGCACTGTAAGAAGTGGTATTACTATATTAGCATTGTTTCTTTCAAAGATATTAATAGGTAATGATGTACAGGAGTATACTTGCTGTGTTTCAATAGTTATATTTGGAAAAGTCTTCCTTGATTTCCACACTTGCATGAATAATACTTCATTTGGAATTTTATAAGTAATAGTATTAGTTAGCTGGATTATATTTTCTTGTAAAAATCTTAAGTTTAGAAGAGATGCTATGAATCCCTTTATCTAGTTTTCCAAATAAGTCTTCAATGAATTTATCAAGATCATTTACTCGTCTCACTATTTTGTTTAATGATGATAGAATTACATAGATGAACTCATTTTTACTTTTAGTAATTGTCCCTGATTGATTTATACATTGTTTAAACTTTTCTTCATTAAGCAAAATGTTAGATTTGTGTTACTAAAGAAGTAAAGTATAGAAAGCCACTTCTGTATTCCTGCTTCAAGCATCCATCCCTCTTATCAGTCCATTCCAGGTTGTTAAATGCAATTTTAAGCTTTTCCAACATCTGATCATCACCAAGCCTTTGGAGATGTAAAGGCACCAGCTCCTCACCTTCAGGTTGTCGGCAGTTACAGGATAAGCAAACTATTTTATCAGATTCCTTTCTTTGAACAGGCCATGAGACAATGTATTGCTACATCATTGCCATGCCCAACTGCCCTCCGTCTCACATCTAGCCTCCTCTCTCCTAACATCCTCCCTCTGATCTCATCTTTAATCTACCCTCTTAAAGCTGGCTGCCTTCTACCGTCCTCCCTTACCTGTTCCCTAACTTGCTTCTCCCTCTGACTACTTCCTCACCTTTCTGCTCTCAACACCTTTCTGCTCTCAATACCTCCTCCTTCTTTGTTTCTTCTGTCCTCTGCCCCCCCAGTTCTCTGTCCCTAACCCCCTTTATTCTCTTCCTAACTCCACCTTCATAACTCTACCCTCTGCACTTACAACATCACTTTCTACTCTTGTGACTCCTCACTCCTTGCTTTCTTCCTGCTACCATGTGTCCTTTGCAATCAGCCCTCTATCCTCCTCCAAAAACTGCCCTCCTCCCTCTTCTCCCTACCCTCCAGACTCCCCTTTCCTCTCCTCTCCTCTCTCTCCTCTCCTCTCCTCTCCTCTCTCTTCTCTCCTCTCCCCTCCCCCTCCCCCTCCCCCTCCCCTCTCTCCCTCCCCTCCCCCCTCCCCTCCTCCCCCTCCCCTCCCCTCCTCTCCTCTCCCTCTCCTCCTTTCCTCTCCTCCCCTCCTCTCCTCTCCTCTCTCTCTCCTCCTTTCCTCTCCTCTTCTCCCCTCTCCTCCCCTCCCCTCCCCTCCTCTCCTCTCCTCTCCTCTTTCAACCCAATTCTCTCCTCTTCAAAAGTCCTCTGCCCTCCTCCTGCTCTCCTACTCCATCCCTGTTCTTTCTCCCCCTTTTGATCTCCATCTCCCTTCACACAATTTTCCCCACTTCCAACCTCCTCTGACCTCCTCCCTCTGATCTGTCCACTCCTCCGTCTATTCTTAGACCACCATACTTCACTTTTTTTCCATTTCCCTTTCACACCCTTGAATCTCCTGTGCCCTTTACCTCCATTTCCCCCTCTACATTCCTGTCTTGTCTCCTTTGCATTCCTCCTCCAGCTTTTCTTCTCGATGCCACTTGCCCTCCTCTCTTCCCTCCCAAACTGCACCTTCTATCCACCCTTCTACTGCTGCCTTCCCTCCTACCTCTTCTTTCTCTCTTCCTCTGGACTTTACTGTACTGTCCCCCCTGTATATCTGCCTCACTCCTCCTGATACCACCTTCCCGACTCTACCCTCCCTGACATGCTACCACACTCTGAACTCCATCATCTCTTGCGTCAACTCTCCTCCTCCATCACCTAGTTTGTGAGCTCTCTTTTGTTCTTAGACCTCCATACTCCTCTCTGCTCTCCTCTCTCTATTATTCCCATACTTCTTGGCACCTCTTGCTTTTGCCCCACTTCCTCAAGCCTCCACTGTAGTTCTCACTCTCCTCCTCCTCCTCCTCCTCCTCCTCCTCCTCCTCCTCCTCCTCCTTCTCCTCCTCCTCCACCACCACCACCGACGCCCTCTTCTTTTTTCTCTGTGCCCTTTGCTCTGCTTTCGTCTTCACCCTCTGATCTCTACCACACTCTACCTTCTTTCTCTCCCCTACTGACCTTCTTTCCCTCCTACCTGTGGTTTTTTTCCTTCTTTAGCTCCCTGCCCTCTACCCTCTGCTCTATCCACCTCTGGACTGATCTCCCTCTGTTCTCCTGCGGACCCTTCCTTCCTGACTCCATCGACCCTGATTATGGCATCCCACTCTGCTTTCTGCATTCCTCCCTTTCCTTCCCTCTCATCCATCCTCTCCTCCCTGGACATTCTTCCTCCCCCTGGGCTCTGCCCTTCATGTATTTTGCCTCTTCCCTTTGATGTTCTCCTTTCATACAATTTGCTGCACACTCCAACCTCTTCTGGCCTCCTCCCTCCAACATTTTCATTCTACCCATGCTCTCTCTTCCTCCCTCTGCATCTTCCCCCAGCCCTCCTGTCCACTCCTCCATCTATTTCCTTGGACCTCCACACTCCTCCCTCTAATACCCCTTATTCCCTTAGCTCTAGCCTCTATGCCCTTCATCTTTCTCCTTCACCCTATGATATCTTTCGACCCCCTACTGCCCTCCTTCCCCCTCCTACCTGAGGTTTCTTCCTTCCACATCATACCTCTGCACTCTCCACCTCTGTACCTTTTCCTCCTGACTCCACCCACCCTGATTTGACATTACATTCTGCTCTCTGCACTCCTTGCTGTTCTCCTCCTTTTGCCATGGCCTCTCTGTGCTCATCCATTCTCTCCTCCCGGAACACCCCTCCTTCTCTGTCTACACCCATCTCACCTCTCCTCCCTTTGATGTGCATACATCTCCCTTCACAAAACTTCCTACATATGCCAACCTATTAGGACCACCTCCTTCTAGTCACCTCCTCCTCCAGCCTTTTCCATCTACCCACCTCTGCCTTTCCTCCCTCTGATCTCCTCTGCCTGTCCTCTTCCCTCAGCCCTCCTGTCCACTTCTCCCTCTGTTCTTAGACCTCTACACTCTTCCCTACTTGCCTCCTTTTAGTCCCTCCTCTCTGTTCTTTATTCCCATTATCTTCCTCTGTCTTGTGTGTCTAATCTCTCCCACATTCCACCTTCTTCCTCTCCCTTTTTCCTCCTACCTATGGTTTCTTCCTCCCTTGGCTCTTTGCCATCTTCTGTCTCCACCTCTGGTCTATTCTCCTGCTGACCCTTCCCTCCTGACCCCACCCACCCTGATTATGACATCACATTCTGCTCTCAACACTCCATCCTCTCCTGCTCCATTTGATCTGCCCTCCTCCCTTGACCAGGCCCTACCCATCTGCTGTGGGATGTTCTGTATGGCAATGTGTTGCTCTGATTGGTTGGTAAATAAATCACTGATTGGTCAGTGGCCAGGCAAAAAATATAGGCAAAAAAAAAAACTAAAAAGTGAAAGACTGAGTCAGAGAGACACTGCCAGCTGCCATGATGAGAAACAACATGTAAAGATGCCGATAAGCCATGAGCCATGTGGCAAGGTATAGATTAATGGAAATGGATTAATTTAAGCTGTAAAAACAGTTAGCAAGAAGCCTGCCACGGCCATACAGTTTGTACCAATATAAGTCTCTGTGTTTACTTGGTCGGGTTTGAATGGCTGTGGGACTGGTGGGTGTCAGAGATTTGTCCTGACTGTGGGCCAGTCAGAAAAACTCAAGCTACAAATGGCGCCCAACGTGGGGCAAGAGTTTCCACCTAAAACCTGAAAAAAAGATTCTAAAACAGAGCTAAAAACAGTTCCTAGTTGTCCCTTTCAAGTTAGCAGCAGCCTGCCGGTTTGAGCTACTGGCGGGTTCCTAGCGTGCATGCATGTTCGACCTGCAGTATGACGGGAATGAGGCCTCTGCAACTGGCACATTAAGCTGTGTGGTGGATTTAGCCTTTGCTAGTACAAAACAAAACAAAACAAAAAAAAGAGGTTTCTGGGCTACACGCTGCTTTGATAAAAGCATAGACCCACTATTTCTGAAAGTTGATGGCTCCCAGAGCTGGTGGAAAACGTATCACCGCCATGTTGGGAAGCTGAAGTGGGCGGAGCCAGCAGCCATAACACCAGTGCCGTTTCAGGCTTAAAAGACTACAGTTCAAAGCAATAGGCTCAAGCTAATATAAATAAATAAGCCACGTAAAGATGGCTACCACACAGAGAATCTGGATTATGTTCTCTTTGATATTCGTAACTAAAGAAAAACATTTGATTACAAAAGCTGTTGAGTTATGCCAAAATGTATATTTTAAAGTTACCTTGACTTCAAAATTTGGATGTAAGGATATGTTGCTTTGGAAAGGAGGCTCTGCTTTTGTTGCCACAGAAAGTCATAGGCTATGGATTTGTTCCAGATTAAGACACATCAGGTTTGACCAGCCAAGATCCCCTGAAAGGTCTCCGATGACACCATGGCCCAGATGATCCAACATCCAGAACCGTTTCAAGGCAACTGGCTCAGATGATACAGCCTCACGGACTACTCCATGATCCTAAAATTTTCTTTGTTTCCCCAGAAGATACAGCGCCCCACTCCAGCAGGAAGTAGTAAGAGAAGCTACGCCCAAATTCCCAAATTATATATAATTTTACTTTGTTAAGGTTAAAACCTTCCTTTTAAAAAAAAAAAGGGAAAAGTGCTGTGGGATGTTCTGTATGGTAATGTGTTGCTCTGATTGGTTGGTAAATAAATCACTGATTGGTCAGTGGCCAGGCAAAAAATATAGGCAAAAAAAAAAAAATAAAAAGTAAAAGACTGAGTCAGAGAGACACTGCCAGCTGCCATGATGAGAAACAACATGTAAAGATGCCGATAAGCCATGAGCCGTGTGACAAGGTATAGATTAATGGAAATGGATTAATTTAAGCTGTAAAAACAGTTAACAAGAAGCCTGCCACGGCCATACACTTTGTAACCAATATAAGTCTCTGTGTTTATTTGGTCGGGTTTGAATGGCTGTGGGACTGGCGGGTGTCAGAAATTTGTCCTGACTGTGGGCCAGTCAGAAAAACTCAAGCTACACCCATCCATCTCCCTGGACACTGCCTCTCCCTCTGGGATCTGCTCTCTTCCCTCTGCCCTCACTTCCCAATTCCATTCACCTCCTCCTGACCCTGCCCTCCTGACCCCACCTACCCTGATTATGACATCACATGCTGTTCTCTGCAGTCCTCCACTTCCCTCTGATCTGCATTCCCCCCATCTATCTTCTTCCCTCTGACCTTATCCATCCTCTCCTCTCTGGACTCTTCTTCTCCCTCTGGAATCTGCTCTCTGCCCTTTGCTCTCCCCACTTCTTTCTCTGCTCCTCCCTTTGATGTCTACCTCTCTTCACACAATTTCTTACCACTTCAACCTCTTCCATCTACTCCCCTCTTCCTCCAAACATTTTCCTTCTACCTGCCTTTCCCTTCCTCCCTCTGATCTCCTCTTCCCATTGTCCTCTTTCCTCAGCCTTCAGTCTGCTCTTCTGGTTCACTCCTTCCTCTCTTCTCTTGTACTTCTACACCCCTTCTTCCTCTCCTCCTTGGGCCTACTTCCTTCTACTCTGTTCCCTCAAACCACTGCTGCATTCCTCTCTGCTCTCACCTCATCCCTGATCTTTCTTCTTGCCCTTCTTCACTCTCCTCTCTTCTTCCTCTGCTATTTTTCTTCCTCTACCTCCTTTCTGCAACCTACTACTCTCATCTCCTCCTTTCCTAAGGTCTCCTCCTGCCTTCTTCCCTCTGCCCTCCTTCCTCTGCCAACCTTTCCCTAATCGGGAATTTAACAAGGCAACTCCATGTAGTTTATCTGGTAGTGAAAAGGAGGTTTATTTGGGGGTAACTTACAGTCAGTAAAGGGGTTGGTTACAGGATCTGGGAGAGGTGAGGTACAGTCCAGCAGGGTTCTCTGGAAAATTCTGACTTGATAGGGATCTTGGGTCTTAAGCACTCCCATCTCGGCCATGCCCAGGGGCAGGTCATAGGTAGGCATGGCAGTTACTGTCTGCCTCACTGGGGTGGTGCTTCAAGGTCAAAGCTGGAACAGCTACCCATTATATCTCCCCCTTTTGTCTAAATAAGAAAGTTCTAACTTAATACAAAACTATATACAAAAGGAATGATTATCAAATATTGTCCAGTAGGAATAAGGGATAATGACCTAAACAAGATGGAACTACAATAAGAACAACGTCAAACAAGAGACACATACTAAAATACTAAAATCCAGAGAAGTCTGGAGCATAGGTAAATGGCATGTTACAAATATCATTACAAAAGGTGTCCTATCCTAAAGAACCTGAATCTAATACTTAATATGTTCTAGCTAAGATACAAGAAGATTGTAACTATAGCTGTTAGTCTTCAATCCCATCAAAGATCTGAGAAGGAATATAATAATACCTGAGAAATGGGAGAAGAATGCAAGCAACTTTTGGGAGTCTTTCAAGAGTAGACAGAGACAGCTGACAGCCTGGACAGTCATCTAAAGTTTCTCAGCACTGTTGATGCATTCAAATTGGCTACAGGTCTAGAGTATCTCTCAGACCATTTTACTGTCAGCAGTCAAGGCAAGGGCAGTTCTTTACCCAGTAGGCATTTTGTACCAAGGTGAAGACAAACTTCCAAATGGAAATGTATCAGAAGTCCAACATGCTCTCGGGATCAGATCAGTGCTGCCAGGAGCAATGGTGTCTCACATCAACAGAATTCCAAGTTATCAAAACATTTAAATGCTATATTCTCTAGGTCTATGAAGTGTTTGAAGATTACCTATCCATCTGACATATGTTTCTATAAGTCTGGAGAACCTAACTAACATAACTATAGAGATGACAAGCACAGGTGACTATAAATCTGTAAGTCTTATCTACCTAGATAACCTAAGGACTAAGGTTTCATGTAAACAGGGTAAACAGTCTGTAAGCAAATGTACAGTAAAAGGACAATGACCTCAAAATTGTGACAATACACAAAATAGCTAAAGCAGAGGTAGGAATGTGTAGTGCAATATGCAATATGACAACAATCCTAAATATGTACCAATATACCAAATATCCTAAACAGAGGTAGAACATACATACAGTATGACAAATATAATTTTACGTTTGTATCAATATATAAACATTTCAAATAAGAGCAGAAATATATGTGTATTACAACAAATATGGGTCTGTGTTTGTATCAATATACAAATTATCTGGAATAAGAATATTAAAATAGTTTACATTTGTATCAATACACAAGAATCCTTAACAGTGCAATTTATCTAAGGCTGATATTTTACTAAATTAGTTTACTAGTATATGCAATAATCTACCTTAATATCCTATACCTATCCATTCCCCCTTTTTCTTTTCTTAAGGGGAATACCGGGGTCCAATGTTTTCCTCCACCCCTAACCTTATAATCATTATCCTTACCCTAGAAAAACATGAAACCTTTGGGAAAAAGGGGTGTCATTTTCTTGGAATTGCTTCCTGGTGTTCAGGGAGTGATGGTATCTCTGTGGAGTCCTGTAAGAAAGTTCAGATAGTTAAGTCTCAGTTGGACTAACTGCAGATTCTGCAGCCAGTCTCAGAGTAATGGGTAAAGTTGTCTGAGATTCTGGCTAGAAGTGTAGTGTAATGAACCATCTTACTATGAAATTATCTTAGAGAGTTTTCAGTCCAAGGTTGATTATTGAGTAATGTTTGTGAGTACCCATGGCATCATTCTGGACTGGGTAGAGTTGTTGTTGTGGGGCCCCATCTTCCTTCTAGAGACTTCAGAGATTGCTATTGGAAAAGACTTATATAT